TTTTTTTTTTTTTTTAAAGATTTTATTTATTTATTCATGAGAGACAGACAGAGAGAGAGAGGCAGAGGGAGAAGCAGGCTCCCAAGGAGCAGAGAGCCCGATGCGGGACTCGATCCCAGGACTCTGGGATCATGACCTGAGCCGAAGGCAGACGCTTAACCATCTGAGCCACCCAGGCGCCCTATACATATGCTTTTATGTTAGATAGAAAACACCATCTGTCTTCAATATTGTATCTTGAGGACCTGACACAGAATAAATACTCAATATATATAAATGACTGAATGATAACTATTCATTGTCTTTTGCCTTTATGTGGAGACTTTAATACTTTTGCTAATTCATACAGCAAATAAAGATGACTTATCTCTATAACTAATGCACTTCCTTTTCTTGTTTTATCTTATTACTACTAGAAAAAATGTGAATTTAAAATATATAGACATGGGCTCCTGGAGATATCTTATTGATACAAACAATACCTAGACATCTTTTTTTTTTTCCGAAGGTTTTATTTATTTATTTGACAGAGAGAGAATGAGAGCACAGGCAGGGGTAGCTGCAGAGGGAGAGGGACAAGCAGGCTCCCAGGACCCTGGGGTCATGACCTGAGCTGAAGGCAGACACCTAACCAACTGAGTCACCCCGGCACCCCAATACCTAGACATTTTCTTTCTTTTTTTTTTTTTTTTAAAGATTTTATTTATTTGACAGAGAGAGACACAGTGAGAGAGGGAACACAAGCAGGGGGAGTGGGAGAGAGAGAAGCAGGCTCCCCGCTGAGCAGGGAGCCCGACGTGGGGCTCGATTCCAGGACTCTGGGATCATGACCTGAGCCGAAGGCAGACGTGTGACGACTGAGCCACCCAGGCGCCCCTACCTAGACATTTTGTTAAGCAGTGATTTATAAACATAGCACTGATTTATCTGTACTTAGTCATCTTTGAAACATTTGAACATGAATTATTTGATCAAAAGTATTATTCACTAAGCAAACACCAATTTCTTCCCTTCCCAGATTCTAGGAAGGAGAAAAGCAAAAGAATGTTAAAAGAATGCTAATTTACAGAAAATCTTCTGGTTGATACACCATTATGGACTCAGTACCTGTGCTCTGTGTACTCACTGCCTGATTCAGTGCCTGGAACAAAGTAGGTGAACCATAGGTATTTTTCGAATGAATAAATAGAAAAATAGTGAACATAGGCATATTAATAATCTCTTTTAGCTCATATTTTCATTCCTTTTCCAAGTGGTGTAGATTTTTAGTACTTGTTAGCCACTTTTTTTCAAAAGATTTTATTTATTTGTCAGAGAAAGAGAGAGAGTGAGAGAGAGAGCACAAGCAGGGGAGCAGCAGAGGAAAAGGGAGAAGCAGACCCCCCAATGAGTAGGGAGCCCTACTCAGGACTCCATCCCAGAACCCTGGGATCATGACCTGAGCTGAAGGCAGACACTTAACCAACTGAGCCACTCAGGCATTCCAAGCCACTTCTTAATTACCCATAAAAACTGGACACAGGTTCATATGGAAAAATTCTACATTTAATACAAAAATATATATTTAGCTGATAGTATTATTTTCCTTCCTTTGGAGTCTTGACTTTACTCCTCAGAATAATGAAGCAGCATCACTGGGTTTTATCTATTCTCCCTTTCTCATCAGAGAAAAGGCCCAGAGGCAAGGGAAATTACGAGTATTGTGAACCCACATAAACAAGGGGGACTGGTAACTCATTCATGCTTATCTTTGTATTTCTTAAAAATAGGTCAAAAATTAGCTAAATCAAGATCTTTTCCTAGGTTAAAGGCTGCTGTAAGGACTACATTTTTCCAATAGGTGGCAGTGTCTTCTTTCTTCAGCATAAGAATTCTTGAAAATTTGCCTTAAGGTTTGTTGGGTTTGTTTTGTTTTTTACTTTTACTATTCCTTCAGTAATATGCAGGTGACAATAAATAAGTTAATGAAACTGACATTTCTTTCACTTTCTTAACAAAAATCACCCTTGGCGATTTCAAAAGCCTCAGATGTGGAACTCGTACTTTGGCTTCCATTGATAACAAGGTATATACCAGGGTAGACTGCTCTAACCCTCCTCCCCATTTCCTGATTGAAGTTATTACTAAGGACTAGCTAATGGATAGTAATGTCTTGGAGCAAATGATGACAAGACTTTCTGCCTCTCTAATAACAAAACAAAACAAAACTAAAACGTAGACTTTAGAAGTCTCAATTTTAGGGAAAATATTCATTAAATTATGCAGATGCTTCTCCTGGCTGGTTAATAATGAACTTAAAAAATTACTCACATACCCTATTTTAATGATAACACCTAAACTTTTGCAGCTCCCCACAAGACTGTTTAATACCCCCAACAGAGAGTTAGGTGCTGTCACATGTCTGACACGAAGTAAACGGTGCAGAAACTAGGTTTGAGGAAGGAAGGCAGGATTGAAATTCCAGCGACATATGCTGGAGTTGAAAAACGGAAATGTTAATTAGTGGAATAATATCTCAAATACTTTATCTACAAAAATATTGTGTTAGCGGGAGTAGGGAAGGCTGGGTCTGAAGCGCGCATTTCACTGATTTCTCAGAAGTACTCTTTTATAAACAAAGCTTCAAGTTACTGGAGAGGGGCTCAGTATTTCACTGAAAACACGGAGATAGCCGGATTTGACCATCAAGTCCACCCGTGAATATTCACCTGATAATAGAAGGTACAGCGATTTTTAGGGTTTAGGGGATTTTTAACTAATCCTCTACTTTCGAGACTAGCCGGCAGCACTCGTGCAGCCCACCCGGTGCCTCTCCACTCCCCGCCGCACCCCCCTATTCTCTCCCGCGCATGTGGACCTCTGACCCAGGCCCGGCCTGGGCCTCGCGCACTGTCCCGGTCCAGGTAAACTGCCCAGCCAGGGGACTCAGACGCGCTGACAGGTGGCCTCGCTTGCCTTCCTGCCGCCCAGGGCGGCGCTCTTCTCCACTCCGGGCCCGCGGCCACAGCCCGCGCGCCTAGCATAGCTCCCAGGCTGGCCCCAGAAGTCGGGCGGCTTCCCCAGGGGAGAGCGAGGCCCAAGAGGGGCGTCGGGTCGCCCGCGAGTCCGCCGACAAGAGCAAAGGGCCGCCAAGGCCAGAGCCCGGTGAGGGGTGATCAGGCCGGGCACTGATCGCGCCCCTCGGACGAGGGCCACATGGAGCCCAGCACCCACGCACGTCCAGCTCTGCGTACCGCCCCTCGGTTTCCTTCGCCCTTTGCTTCACGACCCCCGGAACCCGCCCAGGCCCCCCCCCTCCCCGCGGCAGTGACCCCGGGTCTCCACCGCCCGGGGGCCAAGCCGATCTGCTACCCCCCGGACCCCAGTAGGACCCAGGGGTCACCCGAGTCGGCGAACCACATTCCCAAGGACGAGCAGCCGGTGGCAGCACCGCCCCCTCTCAAGCGCCCTTCGGGTCCTCTACTGCCTGCACTCCCGCGGCTCTAGGGCCCCGACCTCTCCAGAACTCGCTGGCGGCCGGGGGAGGAATTCACTCGGACCCCTCCCCTTCCCCAAACTTCTTCCCTCTGCCGGGCGGTTCTTCCAACCCGACCCCTCTGCGCCATCCGGCTCCTCCCTCTCCGCTCCCCTCCCCTTTTCTGGTCCCCACTTAGGAATCTGCTCCCCCCCACCCCCGTCGCCGGCCGGGTCCGGGGATCCTCCCCCCGACTCCCCCCCCGCGTGCCGCCGCCGCCGCCCGGGTTCCTCTCCCCCCTCTCGGGCGCTCCCTGCCAAGCCCATGATGTAATGGTGTATGTTAATCAGTAGCATGTGGGGAGCTCCGGCTCCGGCGGCTCAGTCCTCCCCGAGCCGACACTGGAGGCAGCAGCAGCGGCGGCGGCGGCGGCCCGGACCCG